ATTTAATTAATGTAATGTTAAAATATGTATATTAAATATATAATTTTTAATTAAATATATTTATATTAAAATTTTATAATTAAAGAAAATATAATTATTACAGAAGTAATACTTATTTATATATGTTAATTTATATTATATATTGATGTGTGTATATATAGTTATTCATTCACCAAATCACTTTTGGCTCAACCTTACTTAAGTATTTTTTAACTTGTCTCTTCAAGTAACTATTCAAGTATTCTTTGAATAATAAGTTTCTCCAAGCTTAACAATCAAGTATTCTTTTTAACCAAGCCTCTTGATGCTCATATAAGTATTGTTTTACCGACAAACCTCTTCAGACTCAACCTTATAATGGTTATAAAGATTACAAATATGTTGTATTTGTCTCACTCAGACATAATACAACCAATATAGATCAGTAAGCTTTTGTAGGAAAAAATAAGTATGATTTACAAAGAGTGTTTCTTTGCATGTCTTTCTCTACAAGTCTTTTCTATATATATTGTGGATCCTTCTTTCTTGAATTTTGAATCTTCTTATATAGTAGCTTGGAGAAGATGACTGTTGCAACACTTTGAGTCTAACTCACAAGTTCATTTCGTCTGTCTTCATCATCTTTCTTTGTGATGACAGGTAACCTTTTGACTCATTTAATGCAAGCATTAAATACATTTCACCAAATGATACCTCTTATCTGATCAAGGAGGCTATTTATCAACTTTCCATAGCAAACAGAGCTTGTAGAATCAGTTTTAGTGTAGTGCAGCAACAACAATGACTTTATCTTCTTTTATTCATGATTTTAGGGATCCTCATCTTTGTTTCTGATGAAAAGTATGATTTTTCTCTTTAACATATTTGTGAGTTTCAAGATGACTTTCTGGTTTGATCTGTTAAGGAATAAAATATTCAAAATAAACTGTCATTAGTCTCAATTAATGATGAACATTTAATGAACATGAGAAAAATTGTATGCTTTCTCTGATTCACTATATCTTACACTTAGTCTGATAAGCATTTTCAAAGACATTTTTTAAAGATATTTTCTCTTATAAAAATGTTTTGATTGTTAATATTAAAACTTTAAAGTTTTAGGGATCTATAATCATCTTTTTGACTTAACAAAGTCCTTAAAATAGACTATATAAATTATCGTACCAAGTAAATTTATTTTTCTTAAATTAACTTATAAGTTAGTCAAAAAAGTTTATAAACTTTTAAAATACTTTGCCAAATACATTCCCATTTGAAAATATCGTAAAATTCATTTAAAATAAGTGAGTATTAAATGAATGTAAGAAAAAGAAAGTGTTTGAGAAAATCATAATTAAATAAAAAGATATGACAAAATCAGAAAAATAAAATTGAATTTGGTACACATGGCATGTCCACACCCTCATTATGCCAAGTTGCATTTTGTTTTCAACAAATGAAAAGGAAAAGGGAAAGAGGAGCCTCGCTAGAAAGTAGAAAATAAACGAAAGCTTCAGTATGTGGTATGTATGGGGGGTACTACCAATGAGAGTTAGTAGTAGTGGGACTTGGTCTACCAACCCCTAACAAAACGGCATTTACTTCTCGTAGAATTTCAATACCCCCCATTCTCAAAGGGAGGACAGTTAGTTTCTTACCCATTTCTCACCCTTCATTCCCGCCTCGCTAGAAAGTAGAAAATAAACGAAAGCTTCAGTATGTGGTATGTATGGGGGGTACTACCAATGAGAGTTAGTAGTAGTGGGACTTGGTCTACCAACCCCTAACAAAACGGCATTTACTTCTCGTAGAATTTCAATACCCCCCATTCTCAAAGGGAGGACAGTTAGTTTCTTACCCATTTCTCACCCTTCATTCCCATCACACATTATTCAACCAAAGATCCAAAATTGAAGGGAAACACCCGTTATTAACCTCACCACCACAACTCCATTATGAAAATTCAAATAAAAAAAATAATTAAGATTTAGCTCATGGGGGGTTCTCATAATTAAAATTTAATTTCAGTAATTTCATTCAATTTGGATAATTGCATTACTTTGTGTTACTAATGAAAAGACCACCCGGCATTCTAAAGCTAGCATTGCAGACTATTGGCTCTGAGATCACAGGCACAAAAGTAACAGAATCAGAACTTAATATTAATATAAAAAGAAATTTTTTTATATTAATAATAAAATGTCAATTTTCGAATAAACAGTACCATAATTCAGTAGTTCAAAAACTATTCGCTATTAAAACGACACGTGGGTGGTGTGAGTTACGTGTAACTCATCCTCTTGACAGTTGTCGTTTATCTCTCAGTTGAATGTCACAGCTCAGTGACGTTCAAAACTGAACGAGGTCGTTTTATTTCTGTCATGAATGAAGGCCCTCCCCGCTATTTTACTCTGCTTCGTTGTTGCAACAAAGATCCCTCCTGAGTTTTATTTAAACCGCTGTTAAATTTCAAAATTACCCCTTCACTGTAAATAATACACGCAGTTACTGCACGCTTATTAAACTCATAAAATAAAATAAAATAAAAAAGTTGAGCACTTGTGGTCATTCAATTAGAAACTGACTTGTAACTCTTTCACTTTTATAATAATAACTATTATGTTATTGTACTAAAGAATAAATTTTGATCAGTTGACCTTTATTTATTTATTTTTACAATGGTATATGCCAACTAAACTTAAAAAAAAAATAAAGAAGATACCTTGGGCAATAGTATATTTTATTTCATTAAAAAAATTGATCTCAATGTATGACAGAAAATGATATACTGCGATTTATTTCCAATAAAGAAACAGCGTCTTGCTTCAATTTTGGTAAGTTTCTTGAAATGGGGCAAAAGGGTACCTTGGGCAATGAAAAAAGGTTTTGAGGTTGAATAAAAGAAAAGCGAGATATAGTGGAGAATAAATACAGAAACGGGCAAGTCCGGCATGTTACATGTTCTTCTTTCTCTCACTTGATACATGCACATCTTTAATTAAATACCAATAAATTCAATTTTTAATTCTTTTTACGGTTTCCGTAAAAGAAGAAGAAAAAAAAATTTAAGAAACCCCCATTTTAATTTTCTCTTCCTTTTTGACTTTTTATTATTTCTCCCATTTTTATATCTCTCGGTGGAGGAATGCTTGTCACCTACTCCTTTCATACTCCGCACTCTCTCTTCCTAATCCTCTCACAAAGAAGAAGAACGCGATTGGCCCAAATGCCAACACCACCACCTTCTTAAACTCTCATCGCTGGTCATGGACAAACACAAATGCAAGCTCTGCTTCCGAAGCTTCTCCAATGGGAGAGCCTTGGGCGGCCACATGCGCTCTCACATGATGAACCTTCCTCTCTCCAAGCCCGAAGAAGCCTTCTCCCGCACCATCCAACTCAGCTTCGAAGCTGAGTCGGCTTCGTCATCGTCATCATCCGATGATGATCATGGTCACACGCATCCGCATGACCATGATCATCAGGATGACGACGATGACAAGGCTTTGTGCTACGGGCTCAGAGAGAATCCCAAGAGAAGCATCCGCCTGGTGGATCCCGAATTTTCCTTCGCAGCCGCGGACACGGGCTCGGTGATCCTCCAAGATAGAGAGAGCGAGACGGAGTCGTCGAAAAACAACCCCACAAGGAGAAGATCCAAAAGGCCATGGAACAACAACAACAACAACTATTATAACTACAACAATGAGAGGAACAAGAAGCAGGTCGTGGGGGAGAAGAGTAAGACAGAATCGTGGGTGGAGCAAGAGCCAGCGAGTTCGGTGTCGGACGCGACGACCGAGGAGGACGTGGCGTATTGTCTGATGATGCTGTCGAGGGACAAATGGAAGAGGCAGAAGGAGGAGGCGCAGGTGGAGGAAGCGGAGGAGCAGTACGAGGAGGAGGAGGAGGAAGAGGAGAGCGAGGAGGAGGAAGAGGACGAGGCGTTCGAGGAGAGCGAGGAGTCGCAGGAGACGATGAAAGTGTGCAAGAACCGAGGAGGAGGAGGAGGAGGAAGGTACAAATGCGAGACGTGCAACAAGGTGTTTCGATCCTACCAAGCATTGGGGGGCCACAGGGCGAGCCACAAGAAGATGAAAGTGAACGTGAAAGTGGACGAGGGCGAACACAACAAAAGTGGACCCTGCGTTGCTGAAAAGAAAATCCACGAGTGCCCCGTTTGCTTCAGAGTCTTCGCTTCGGGTCAAGCGCTTGGGGGACACAAGAGAACGCATGTTACTAACGCCGCAACAACGCTTATTCCTTCCACTTCCTCAAAGTTCGGAAACACCTTCATAGATCTCAACCTCCCTGCCCCCATTGACGATGACGACGCCAGCCAAATCGAAAACTCCGCGGTTTCCGATGCAGAATTCGTCAAAACCCGTTAGGTAATCCATGATTTTTGCTACAATTTTCATCATTTTTCTCTATGCTTATATCTTCTTCATGTTCTTCACAAATTCGCTTATATGCCCGGTTACTCTATATTATTTATGTAATGTTATAAATTATAAAATCATAATTTTTCCTAGACCCTAACTGTAATTCCCTTCTCCCATCCATGCTGTAAGAAATGACATAAGGAATCATCAATGGAGGAACCAAAGTTTATGTTTATTTAGATTAGATTCTTGTCTTGTCATTTTTTTAGTTTTTTTATCTGCCTTTGCTATGGAGTAGTGCAGAAGAATTGGGAAGCATGCGTGTTATAGTGGGCTCTGTTTCAGCTTCCAAGCAAATACAAAGTAACTGTTTTCTACCGTTCATTGGTGATGAATCCTAAACAAGAGTCGTTTTCAGAGGAAGTTGATCAATCTGCAAATATTTTATTAGTATAAAAGTATCTTCCACTTCTGACTTCGAGGAGCATTATACAGTTCCATGAAAAGAAATGTGTTTTCTTGGTGCTTCTTTTATTATTTTAATTTTTTTTTCCACTCAGAGCATCTAAGAAGTTCCGTATCTTTTCCCCCTTTTATTTTTTTCGGCTGAAAGAAAATTCTGTCTCGTCGTTCTTTTCCTCCATTTTTACTTTTGTTTTCAACTTTACAACATATCTTCGTAACTAGTACGGGTTAGTAAAATTCAAGATTCAATTCGGTTTCTATTAAAAATTGAATGAGTTCAAATCTTAAAATTAAAATTAGACTTAATATAATTTTTAAGAACCAATTCAAGTTATGTTTTGAATTGTCTCAACTTGTTCTTTATTTTTATATATATATATATATATATAAATTTTTGAAATAATATGTTAATTATAATAAATTTTTTAATAAATAATATTTTTATCACATTATATTATACTAATAATAATATTATTTATTTAAAATATACTTTTGTTTCATAATTTAATTATATATATATATTAATATAATGAGTTAAAACATTGAATTAATATGATTCTTTTTTATATATTTTGGATTGAATTCGAATTTAAATAAATAATGATCAATGTTTTGAGTCAGAATAATAACGAGACTAAACCCGGCCGTCCCTACCCGCTTTTGCTTCCCCTAATAATCAGAAAGATTGCAAGGTGAATCAGAAAATTTAAGTGTTTTAGAAAATCAGAAAATTTAGTCTGAATGTCTTTAAATTTTAGATGGAGACTAGAGTAGGTAATATTCATAAAATAAAATTAAAAAGAAAAAAAGTGCATACCTTCTTTTATTTTCTAAGGCATAACAGCACGTGTTAGTATTGTTACTGAGTTGGATTTTTATGAATAAAAATAAGTTTTCCTGATATATTAATTTGACCTAGTTGGGATTATTTATGAGAGACTTTAATTTATTCATTAAATATGTAATAAATGACATATACGTTTCTTAGACTTGGTTTCTTATTTTTCATTTATTTTAATTATATTGGTTTGGTCAATTAACCCATAATAAAAGTTATACTTATTAGTAAGATTTTTTTCTTCTTCATTTATTCATAAGAATTAGAATACAGTTCCAACCTTTGATTCTATGGATAATACTTCTGTACTAGTAAGGCCATTCGGCCACCTGGTTCGGCCACTCGGCCACCTGATAGCCCCCACCCCAATTAAGGGTTAAGCATACCCGTAAGCCGATTAGGAGCGTATTACCTAATCTGGTAATCTTGTTACAGGGCCCATGGAAGTCCGGGCCCATAAATGTCAGTATAAATAGCTCTTGTCACGAGATAAGGTCACTGTTCATTAATTGCTATCGATATCTGCGCTTTGTCCTGACTTGAGCGTCGGAGTGCCTTTTGCAGGTACCTCCCCCACACCGGAATATTGGTTCGGAGCACTCGTTCGGCCCTCAGAATACGGAAGGATTATTGGTGTATCCTTTAGACAGGTACATTTTTACCTCTATTAGTAGGAATCTGAGTTCACTCGGCCACCTGGTAGCAGATAAATCCTATGGTAGCAGATAAATCCTCGGCATGGGACTTGGAT